CAAATAACAGAGGGAAATGATAGGAAAATTGAGAGTTGCATACTTCAGTAATAACAACAGGCAGCCCGTGAGAAATCACAAGGTCCAGTGTCTGTCCGAGCTCACGTGTAGGGCTATGCACCAACTGAGTGAGGTTAAAAGAGTCAATAGTACTTAAAAAATCTTTACACAAAGGGCCAGCCAGACAACATACATGAATGTTAAAATCACCAAGGATTAAAAGCCTGTCAAACTTTGGCAAGATAAAACCCAGGAGATCAGAGAACTCCTGAAAAAAGTCCTTATTAAATTTAGGAGGATGATAAACCACTGCACACAGCAGCGGTTGAGAAAGTTCTATCACAAACAGCTGTAGTTCAAAACTTGAATAAGTGTTCACTGTCAGCTGCCGACATTGAAAGCTGTGTTTAAAAACACATGCCAGGCCACCGCCCCGACTTGTCGTACGGGGGGGAGCTGAGGAAGGACCAACCAGGTGGAAGAAGCTCAGAAAATGGACAGTGCTCACCTTCCTTTAACCACGTCTCAGTCAGCAACATGAAATCCAGTTTCCGTGATATAAAAAAGTCATTCAGAATGAATGTCTTGTTAGTCAATGATCTAACATTAATCAAACCCATCTGAATCGATAAAACAGGGTTTGGTGGCTGAGACACACGTCTCGTAATGCACGATTGTACATTAGTAGAGCTGATGCATTCCGAGTGACAGACGACAGAAACAGCACAAACAGTGAAAACAGTAACACACACCGGAGAGGCTGACAGCAGGCCATGAACAGCGGCGCCATCTTGACCACACCATAGAGAAAATCTAATTCTAATCTATGCATGGGTCCTCTTTGTGGACTTCAGCTTGGCGTTCAATACCATCATCCCGGACATCCTCCACTCCAAACTGACCCAGCTCACTGTGCCTGCCCCCACCTGTCAGTGGATAACTAGCTTTCTGACAGACAGGAAGCAGCGGGTGAGGCTGGGGAAAACCACACCCAGCAATAAGCACAGGTGCACCCCCATGTGGATGTGTGCGCTCCCCTCTGCTGTTTTCACTCTACACCAACGACTGCATCTCGAAGGACCCCTCTGTCAAGCTTCTAAAGTTTGCAGATGACACAACGGTCATCGGTACTACATTTTAGGAGGAGCTCCCCCACCCCCATCTCCACTCACTGTAACAGAGTAGGATACTTTTACGGTGTGGTATTAGTAAAGATATGAAGGATGTGTACTTCCTCTACTACTGGTGCTAACATGCAAACTAACATATTTTAGTTATATAACATATTATGGGTACATGCTATTATTTTTAAATCATGTTCATAATTCTGTTAATAATTTTTATCATCATTCTTGTTATTCTTTAGGGTCAATCTAGTGATGCAATCCAGCTCAATCAATTGGCACAGTCACCTGCAATAAAAAAAACTGTTTTCATTCCTTTGAGGGGTGTTGTTACTGATAATAATAGTAACTGTGTAATACCGTACTACTGTAATACCGTGACACCCTGATGTTTTCTGAGACATTTATCATAACATGAAAATCTCATACCACTGCAACCCTATTCACAGCTCACCCGCTGAAGGGGTCATAGAGTAGTTTGGCGATATCACTGCTTACCTATTGAAGGGGGTTGGGGGGAAGTTTTCTCCCTTGATGTGGATGTCCGGGTACAGCTGTATGATGGCTCGAGAGTACTCCTGGAACACTTTACTGTAACCTCAGGAGATACTGTAAATGTATACAGAGAGGACATACCTGTCATGTGAAGTCAGGTCAGGTGATAAACAGTCCCGCAGTGAAAAAAGAAAAATTTCAATTTCAATTTATTTGTATAGTGCCAATTCCCAACAACAATGGTCTCAGGGCACTTTACATAATCAGGTCTAGACCTTACAATAGAAAAAGTATTTGGATTGTTTCCTGAGGCTTTACTGCTACAGAATATTTGTTGACCGTATGAAAGTAGTTTGAAACAAATTTATTATAAGGATAATAATAATCACCTTTATTTGGCTAAGTATGTTACACACAAGGAATTTGTTTCCAGTACAGAACCGAGGCAGCCACTTGCGGCATGTGGATTGCAGGCACCATGATTCAAACCTCCAACCCTCCGGTTGGGAGATGACTGCTCTACCCACCGAACCACAGTCGATCTACAGTATATCTACCTTAAATTGGTGGGGGACATGATGCTCTGAACTCCTTTCCTCTCTCTCCATCCATCCATATGCCATCACCACTACCCTTCACTAACTGTGTGTCCTCTCTCTCTCTCCCTGTACTTTTCTGCAGGTAGCCCTGGCTCTGGAGCTCTATGTTTCTGATGAGCAGCCACCAGCCACATCAACCTGCCCAGTGTTTGACTACTGGTCGTGTCCTGATGCATTTCTTTTCTCTCTCCTGTATCTGCTCACCCCAGCTGGTTGAGGTAGTAGGTATCCCACCAAGAGCCGGGGTCTGTTGGCGGTTTCTTTATGTTTAAAGGGAGTTTTTCCTCCCCACTTGGTGATACCAAGTGCTTGCTCAGGGGGGACTATTGGGTTTTCTCAGTAATAGAATAGAAACTAGACTAGAATAGAATAGAATAGTTGCACCTGAAAGAACTAAGCTGTGTTCATAAAATCCACTTCACTATGCTGAATTATGTTTTAAATGAGATTATGAACTGAAATGGGACCATTTCGAAACAGGTGCTTGTGCACCTGTTTCAGATATACTTAAATAAAACGGACACATTTAATCGATTTATACTATTTCAAACATTTAAACAAGTCATCCGTTTCCACAAGTTTATGTTCATTCAGACATATTTATACACACACACTGAAATAAATGTTAAAAGAGAGATTATATATAGCTAATGATGCCGTTAGCTCGCTGTTAGTCTGTTAGCCCGACAACTCTTGTATCCCCCGTGGAGATATGTTAACCCTGTTAAAAACTCGGTTTCACATAGCCTCCATCCCCTCTCCCCTTCGGTGCTTGTGGTTAATACGTTAGGGGAAACAGATTTCCACACGACACCGACAACCACTCACAACAGCTAACCTGTTTAATCTTAGCTTGTTAGCCTCTGAGCTAACTCACCAGTATTGGAACTTGAGCACGGGCCCTGTGTACAGGGAGGACTTGGCTACTTTTCCGGGTTCTACTTCTGGCAGGGAATCCGGGGAGAGGCCGACTCTGTCACCCGGCGAATGTCCGTGCTGCAGGCTCGATCTGCCGAGATAAATGTCCCGGACCGTTAAAGCCATGAAGAAGAGCAGAGCCGCAAAGAGGTTCGCCTGGCTGTACTCCGCCATTACGGCTGTCTAAAGTGGAACCGATCTGTCCGGTAACACTATCATCCTCTACACGTCTTCCGGTCTTAATCTTCACAATAAAGGGCATTGAGAGAGCGGAAAGTCTGTTGAGTATTTCGGCAGAACTCAAGTTTACAGTACCATACGTAGAGTTTTCAAGTACAACTGTATTTTACTTGAGTATTTTCACCCCCCTGTAGGTAGGTAGGTAAGTAGTTTATTGATCCCTCAATGGGGAAATTTCAGTGTTTCAGCATCAATAGAGAACAAACAACATAACACCATGAGAACAGGCCCCACACACATATCTTGATAAACAAATTCCAGATTTTAAGACAGCATAAATTATTCAAGAGAAAAATCAAGAACAGAATTTACATATGTACATATTAGCCACACATTTTACCCCAGGATTTGAGTTTTGCAATGTTTACTTTTATATAGTCCCTCATAATTTCACCTAGCTTATCCCTGCAGTGATGTATTGTACAGTCTGATTGCTGTGGGGAGGAGCGACCTATGGTAATGCTCCTTCTTACACTGGGGATGTAACAGTCTTGTGCTGAAAGAACTGTTCAGAGTCTCCACTGTGTGGTGCAGGGGATGGGAGGGGTCGTGCATGATGGATGTTAGTTTTACCAGCATCCTTCTGTCCGCCACCTCCTCGATGGAATCCAGGGGGCAGCCCAGGACAGAACCAGCTCTCTTA